TAACTAACTAACTAACTAACTAATGGTATTCCTCAGTCCCCCTGGCAAATGTCACAATAATACCTTGAGACATGCCATGACCACTTTCTTCCACATCAATTAACCATCCTTCCAATACAACACTATGTCATCTGAGTTACTGACAGAATCTTTAAGTACACACTCATTCCTCATATCTTCAGCTACACACACATCAAAACCACACTAACTTTTATTTATTTTCTATTATAGAATGTTATTAACCATACTGAAAATGCATTACATCACTACAACATGTGCAGTCCATCTCCTCAAATACTGAAATACTGCTACGTTAAAATAACCCTCTGTTTCAAGTCAGCCTGGAATTATGTCCAATGCTGTATACAGACTTCATGGTACCATGCTGTGAGTTACTGGCAAGGTGACCCTCAGAGGGCACTGTTAGAATGAAAGAAGTTCCAGTTACAAAATCGTGCCATTTACACTCATTCTGGTCCTCTCAGCTTTGAGATAGTGGCATCTACTACATGAGAGTCACAAGCACATCTAAAGAAATACAGAAATAAACAGATGAAATTTTCTCCTGAATTTGTAGTTGGGATGTGATAGGTGGAAGTGATGATGGCTTCTCTAACACTTGATGGCGCAACACTGACTGATTCACTGATACTGGCGCATGAATGACCTTCAGTTTGTGCGTGGATCCTACAGTGTCTGCCGACGTAAAGTTCTGAGAAGCTCCCTCGATGTATAAACCTGCACAATGAACGCTTGGTACAAATGGTACCATGCACATATTGAGAAAATTACTGTTCCACTACTAAATAGTTCTAGACACCATTTTATATGAATATGATGAAACATCCCATTATTTAAATTTCTACACTCTGTAACAGTATGAATAAACCAGACTGACAAGAACTTTGAAAATGAGATCTCCTTTGATAAGGAGAGTTACACTAAAGTTACATTTTACAACCCAAGTTCCTGTGCTCTTCAAACTGACAGTTATTTTCAAGCAGTTTTTCTTCTTTCATTTAGTCCTTGGGCCTGTTTCCTCCATAGTGTGAATTTCACCATCTTCAGTGCAGTCTTCCAGGATTTCTACTTTTAGGAGAGTTGTTTCCTCCTACTCATTTAACCCTACTGGGTATCATTAATGATACATGGTCATTCCATTCAATTCTTCATGTATTCACCCATTCTTAATTGAAAACAATAGTAATGCCTAACATCTCAGCTTTTCAAGTGGTCATTCCTTGTTTTTCTAATTATTTTTTATAACACTCATTATTAGCTGTTTTGAACACTTCTTTCATTTATTTTTGTTACCTGCTCATTTCAGCTTCACAGGTCAAATGGGTCTGACAATATTTTTATATGTTCTTAGTTTTGATTCTCTGCATATTTGTGTTGCCATATATATAAGCTTCTAGATATTCTGGTTGCCTTATCTGGCTGTTTCACTTCTGCCTACAGGGTTCCTGTACTTGGTATCTCACCTTCTGGACTTCCCACCAATATCCTATATGCATTCTTCTCCCCTGCTCATGCTACATGACCTGTCCATCTCACCCTCCTTGACTTGATCATTTTACTTATGCTTGACAAAGGGTGCAAGTTATGAAGCTCATTATGCAGCTTCCTCCAACCTTCATTCACTACCACACTAAAAAGAAATTAACTTAAAGCATCTCCATGCCGTATCCCTATTGCATACTGTTATCTTTGGTGATAATCACCCATCTACCTTGATTCCTGTAGAATTCTTAGCATATAGTATAGCCAACCTTTCATCCTGTCACCAGTTTTTGGCTTTAGGTGATGACACTGTTGCATTATCTTCATTATCTTTCCAGTCACCTTCCAGCTACTGGGCATCACAGGTTTTCATACATGTAAAATAACTTAATGAATAAAGTGGATGCAAGTAATATGAGTTAATCCAATGGAATGAAGACTCTTGCAGGCAGGGTTTAGGAGTAGGAATAATGCTGGAAGCAGATTTCAGTACAGAATTATAGAAAATTAGTATCTGAATAATGTTTTACAAATGCTCATGGATTTTAGTTTCAATGAGTCTTCCATTGTTATAAATGGTATTTTGAGGTATAAACTACCATGTTTATATTACAAACTTGATTATATACAAATACTGCTTCAAGAGTACATCCAAACACTCAATTCACGGGTGTGTTACTTACAAGGCCAATTCTCTTGCCATTCCAGTCAACCACATGTGTTATTCTTCCATCTCCTAGTGGACGGCCTGTCTCCTGATCAATTACATTTGACATGAGCCAGGGAAAATTTGTCTGAGAAACCCAGTCACTCAGAACCTCCAAGCCAAAATCTGTAACAAACCAGTCAAACTACGGAACAGAGGGAAAGACTAAATGCATTATTAAGAGAAGAACCATGTTACAGTACAAAAATGAGTACTAACCAGTTATCAAATTTTCTTACACAGCATGTGCCATTTAAAACACAACCCATACTACAATAAGCAATCTTCTCACAAATTTCCATGACAATTCAGCTAATGTTTCTTTAACCTTTAAATGCCAGACTTTTTACATGGTCATAGGGTGAGCTGGATGGAGTGTCTTTAAAAGCCTGTTGCTGTTTGATGTTTAGATAATTTTAAGCATTTTATTAACAATGCTGTATCTAATATCATTTTTATGGAAAAGGAATGGAATTTAATTTGTTTTAAACAGCAAAGAACATAGTATCATAATACAACATAAGATCTGAAAAAGTGTAAACAAAAATTATACTCGAAGAAAGCAGTCTTCTGGGATTTGGCACCGTGTATATGTGGTGTTAACCGACGTTTCGGAGGAATGTATCGCCCCCATCGTTTCTCACGGTGTTGTCGCTTGCAGAATTCTTATACTTTTTCTTCTACCCTGAAGATGGGGGCGATACGTTCCTCCGAAACGTCGGTTAACACCACATATACACGGTGCCAAATCCCAGAAGACTGCTTTCTTCATAGTCACCGCCGTGAAAGCCTCATCTTACAAAAATTATACTCCATTTCTATCTTTTTTTTTTGGTAATTTTGAAACAGACTGTACAAAAGAGTTCCCCACTTCTTCACAAAGTTGTTCTTGCTTGTAACACCTGACATACTTCGGCAGTCTCTCGTGTCACAAAATAACTGCAAGCACTTACTTACTTGCTTAAATATGGAGATGAACCCTTCTTGAGGAGAAGACATATCTGCACCTACTCAAGAATTTCCCAGCATTTTATGGAACCTGAAGGTTCATTACCTCGTTCACAAGAGCCCTCCACTGGTCGCTATCCAGAGCCAGATCCATTTTAATATTGTCCACCTACCTACATCTTGGTCTTCCCAGTGGTCTCTTTCCTTCCGGCTTTCCCACAAATATCCTATATGCATTCTTTTCTCCCCCATTAGTTCTACATACCCTGCCCACTTAGTCCCACCTGGTTTCCTGGACCTTCCTAATTGCATATTCTAAGGCAAAGTTGAAAAGGAGTGGCAATAAGGTGTCTCCTTGTCTTAGACCATTCTGGATAGGAAATTTATCAGACAAATGTTTACCTATACAGACTTTACAATAAGTTTTGTTTAAACACATTTTAATCAGATTAACCACTTTCATGGGTATCCCAAAATCAGAATATTGTAAAATACTTCCCTCCTAACTGTATTATAGGCTTTCTTGAAGTCTACAAATGGCTGATGTACTCGTACTGTCTCATTGTACTCCCATTTTTTCTTCAATATCTGACGAATGCAAAAGATCTGATCTCTAGTTGATCTGTTATGTTGAAACCCACACTGATGATACCCAATATTTTAATTTATGTATGGACTTAACCTTGAGACCATATTGGATAAAATTTTGTATGAAGTTGACAGCAGTGATATCACCCAATAATTACTACAGCCGGTTTTATCACCCTTCTTGTGAACTGGTACAATAATAGATTCTTTTCATTGATCAGGCAACTTTTCCTTATGCTAAATAGAAGTAATTAGCTTATGGGTCTTAGAACGTAATATTTCGCCTTCTTCTTGAACAAGTTCTGCCGGAATTTAATCACTATCTGGCGACTTGTAACTTTTCAATTTTGCAATGGCAATTTCAACCTCAAAAAGGCTGGGATCAGGTATTAACGGCTCAGCAGCGTGGATTTTTGTCTGCCTTACATCACTGACCCTATGTACATTCAATAACTGAGAGAAGTAGTTCTTCCACCTATTCAAAACGTTGTGGGAATCTGCAAGCAGATCACCATTCTCATCTTTCACTTTGTTACTTCTAGGTTGGTAACCCATCTTAAAGTCATTTATACAGGTCTCTAATGTTCTTGTTCTTACTGTTCATTGCAAGCTCATCAATTTTATCTTTCAGACATTCCCTCATTTTATTCCTGAAATGTCTGCTGGTTTCGCGTCTTATATTGTTCAGATTGTCCCCATTTAACTCGCTTGGATCCTGTCACCATTGCACTTTGGCTTGTTTTCTTTGTTCTAGTAATTTTGAGCATCCTTCATCGAACCATGTCTTATGTTTCTTCAGTTCATAATAACCTAGACTCTCCTTGGCAGAAATTTTTATATTCTCTATAATAGTTTCCCAAGCTTCATTAACCCGTTGCCGTGGTTCGTCGTGTATGTTTCGTCAGGGATTTAAATCGTCT